TAGTGAACGCCATCGCCCGCACGTGTTTTTCGCATATCACAGATCTCATTCAACAGATATGGTAGATCATGTGGGCACGGGGACCAATGGCCTATCTGGGCCGAGTGCGAACCTTGGAAGGGACGTTGCCTGTGTTTGAGATGGTTAAAAGGCCATGACTGAGCATTCCCGTGTCAGTAATATTTGTGGTTAACACGTCTTAGTTTAGTCATCCTGCAGTGTAACATTGGTAACAACAGAAACTCCTCAGAAATCTGGTGTAACGAGTTGATTAGTGCATACGTTGAAATGTGACGAAACTATTCTCTAGGCAAGAAGAGCACACGATTTACTGTTACACTTTTAGGTGTAAACTTTGAACGATTGCTCTGCCGAAATTTATGAACTTCCTAATATCAGACTAAATACAGTCAGAACCGAACCGGGAAGCATTGATTCGTAATCTTCCCTGCCTGCTCATTTGGCACTCTTGTTTGAAAGTATACAATGTCACTTCTTAACCGAGTGTACCGCCAAAAACCCCACGAAGAAGTCTGTTAGCCCATTGATGAGTGAAAACTTCCCACGCTTATGATATGCACCCCGACTGTCTACGCAATAGGTTTCTGGGTGTTTGTCTAGTATCAGCGTCAAAAATCTGACAAAACCGCCTTCTATTAATAAACAATCATATTATTACTCTTGTTTGAGTTACATCATACTAGACGCGGGGGCACACGTACAATAGTGGCAAGAACAGTTCTCATCTGCAAAGAGTCCTGTCTATGAATTGGGGACGTTTGGGTCAGTGTCTCAACAGGGGGTGTGTGTGTTGTCAGTTGCAGCCGGCACGTGCTCGTGTATGCGCGCGCGTAATAGGTATCGCGTCTCTGGAGGCTGTACTCACCCCTGAACTGATCTCATATTTCTGACAATGTGAGCAGCACCAGAAAAAGCCTGAGCAAACACTGCCAACCGGCAGATCAGGTCTGCCAGAGGACGCCCACTTGCGCGCGAGTGCTCGCTGACACGGCTGGCGATAGATTGCTGGTATACGCTGCTCGCGAGGTGATCGATCGATCAACCGACTAAGGGTGAGTCATTGCCAGAGAGGGTTATTCGTGGGTGTAAAGTTACACTTCTCTCAGCTTCGCATGCAGTAGGGAGGTGACGCGGTTATTGATAGCACAAACATCACGAGTCCTCGAATGCACAGCATCGGTGATAATGAATGTGTCGCAGTCACAATTCATGTAATAACAGGTGGAACATGTGAGTAAGGATTCCCGTACTACAGGTGGATTTGTGCTAAACTCTAGGGAGGCACTTATTCCCATATTACCCTCCTAACCCTAAGCATAAAGCCAACTGTAACAAATTTAGGCCTGATCTTTCAAACCCTAACTGTAACACCAACCCTCATTCTAACTCCAGCCTCCTTGGAAGCTAGGACAAAAGACACCTGCAATTAAGGGGGGAGGGGGTCCGTATCCCTGTGCACTACCTAGTATCAGAATCAATTGGGGACGCTAGCAAGCGGATTGTAATCCGTTTGTTCCAAAAGCGGAAGCCGAAAGTCAAACAGCCGAAATGGCACCCTACTATTTAACTTTACTGCTGTGAGAAAAATCCTGAACGAATACGATATTTCGGTCTAAACTACACAAACAACCCCGAAGAATTGTGTCATATACTTAAAAGGCTGATAAAGTACCTTAGTTACTTATCTACCATCTTTAAGGGCATTAAAGGCTGATGTTATTAGGAGACGTCGGCAGGAGATTGTGTGGGTGGTATCAGGGTTCCTCAACTCAGATCGACGTAGCGTGAGTCAGACAGGCACGTAATATCACGTGAACCGTCATTTGTTATTGCCAGAAAATCTTGTCTTCTGGCTTCGAAAATCAGCCAGAGCGGGTTTCGGTTAAACTACGAGGAGATTTAAATGGCTGAATTGAAACTGAAACGGCATAGTCTGGACCAATAAGTCCCACATCCAAACGCAGAAACTCGATGGTAAACTGCGTGTGCAGAGGGCTTCAGGACAATGCAATGTTTCGAAGATGACATATCCAATTTTGTAGAGATCGGAAACATATGGATCAGCGGAACCCGTACGATATCCATCAAAATTATAGCGCCGTAGGGTCAATGAGGACAGCAGGGGAAGTGTGCCCACTGATAACAGACTTGCGAAGATGCACCATTCAGGATAACAAGGTATGGTCTTAGCGAGCACCCTCTCTCTAAACCTGTCAGAACCATATCGAAAATTACGCCCTTCCACAGTCCAGACAAATCGGACCTTATTACTAATAAAGAGACTGATTGGGTAACAAGGGTCTTAAAACTCGAAGCACCTTTGACTGCGCCAAGTTTTGCTAATGCAACTTCACCTACTTGAAATCCTCTGTCCCATTTAAAGTTTGCCGCGTATATTAAAAACAGGACGAAAGTTTTTACAGTGATTGCTGGGTATGGAGGGCCGATACTTAGTCCTGCATATTTAAGGGAGTCGCCCCACCAGCAGTTAAACTATTTTGGAAATTTCGGACTCCGTGAGGGCGCCCCTACTGGATAAGCTGAATGCCACAGTAGCAAGAAGGCCCCCAGGAGATTCGTGTAGTTTGCGGACGAAAAGGCTAAAATTTGTCATTCAGCCCACGAGAACTACCCGCATTATCCTGCGCAATCTCCACCCCACCCCACCCCCCTCCCAAGATTTTTTTTAGCACAGTGACGCCTTTCAGGACTCATGAGAGCAAACGACAGAAAGTCTTACCACGAAATGAGCTTCAGTCGTTGAGGGCCCCCTATCCAGAACAGAGCTGCGAATAAAGTGTCATCTGTTATTATTATTATTATACTCTTAACTGGCACTATTACTAATTTAACTATGAGACTACAGTCACCCAAAGTCTAGCCGAACTATTGTACGTCTTGCTCTAGCCAGTTTTTCTAAGCAAATTCATATAGACGCCTTCAAATAATTTTAGTAGGGTTCATCAACGTCCATTTCAGCCAGCAGGTAATGAATGGGTACGCGTCGAAATCTGGCCATCGTTCGTCGTCGTCATCCTCTGAAAAAGTAGTGCTGAAATCTACTCTATAAATCCCATGACCAGTATAAACCCGAATTCGGAAGATGTACCCAAGGCATTTGGGGTCACGGCGCTGAGGGCATTTGCAGAGTTATGACGCCATGGATGGATGCAAACTTTTAACGCAAAAGCCATATTTCGTCGACTTAACAGAAAGACACATAGCAGTCATATCTGCCCTTTTTCGAAGGTCACAAAGAGCCAAAAAAGTGTAAATCTACACTTACTGAAATCAGCCGTCGAACTTATAGAACAGTCTGAACAACAAGGACTGACTCTAAGGACTTTATCACGGTTTAAGAACTAACAAATCAACGAAAGAACCTATTTATGCTTTCTCATGCATATTTATCAGCAGAAAAATTAAAAGGCATGCTCCCAGTCTAAAAAAGAGTCTTGTTTGAACTTCAGGGAATCGGGGTGGTGTTACGTGTGCCACGAACCCTTGTCTCAAGTATGGTTTCAAGTGAGAAAAGGAACTGATTACAATTTTCTCATCGTTTCTGATGATGTCCACCGGGATCTCAACAGCAGGGGGATGCAGGGACGCTAACCAGCGCTCGAGTTAGTTTGTAGTGATAGTAGACTTGCGATGCATCTACCACACTTTCAACTCCTCGCGCTCCTTAGTCCGCTGTCATTAAGAAGCCAAGAAGATTGGCGGCAGAATCGGACACAGATGGCTGTCATGACATGAACCCGCGCCTAGGCTCTCCGGCAGATCGCCTGACCAGCACACAAAGGACCGCGATTCCACACACCAAGAAAGGGTGTGGGGCGGCTGGGATCGCAAGCCATTGAAAGAGCTATAAAGGCCACATTAAGGAGGAACCATTACAGCCTGGCTCCCCGTCCTGAAAAGAGAGCCCAGTTATCCCGTCAGTTGGTTGTAATTTAAGCCACGGCCTTTAGCTCACCGTGCGCCAGATTGTTTATAGTGGGGAATATGCGCTGAGAGAGTCGACCTAACTCCTCCCCCCACCCCAGAAACTAGTCGATTGTCCAAGCCGATCAGTTACCTGATGCTTCGACTGGGAACCGCGGTTGACAGAGCTAAGAACGACGTGTCTGCGCATGCCGTACATACGGCCCGGCTCCCCACACAACTCGTCACGATTTCACACAGTGGGGTGGGCGGCTCGGATTCCACATGCGTCAGGGTGCCATAGAGGTCACGTGAAGGAGTACGAGGACACGCTTCCCACTTACGTGAGACGTGCATATTTCTTGTCTCTGGGGTGGGGTGATAAGGGACGGGCTCATGCATCATGTGTTTCAGTGAAAAGGTATGAGGTGAGGGCTTTGACCGGCTGCATTTTACCGTGGGTTTTTATGAATGCGCATGTGGCCGAAGAGGCCATGACGAACCAATTTTTAAAGCTCTATACTTACAGGAACTTTGCCCACTTGTTCAGTTAAAAACTGAATATTGTTAATACATTGAACTTACACGTAGTAGGCTAAAAATGACGCAACTATCTTTCTTTCCCAAGACTTGTAACCCTTTCAAATACAAGCATTTGCGTAGTCAAAAGAGGCAGTTAGGATCCAAAAATCAAGGCAGTTATATCAAATAACATCAAGTGTGTTATCGTTACAGCGTAATCCACTCGACGCATAACAGGCATCGCACATGAACCTGACGGAAACGGTTCAGGTGGATATTAAATCTACTCCCACTCACAAGATACGATATGTGGATCTGCCGAACAGCGGTTGCTTGGGTAAATGGAGTTTGGGTGGAGGAGGGAAGAGTGAAATTTTTGTCAGCAAAGTGGGGAAAACAAGTGGTACATAATGAAGTTAGTTCATTATGCCATTTGCCTAGCCAGAAATTGGTCAAAGCTCCTGCCTCTTGATGCAGTCGCTCGTGGGAAGTAGTCTCTTTGTGGGTAAGACCGTATTTATTAGTCCAAAGTTTCAGTTCTAAAAACGGAAAAAAAGTGGTGCATTAAAGAGGAGGAAAGTTACAGAGGAACGTGCTATTAGGTACAGTAGGTGTGCTAACTCAGGAAATGTCGGCCGAAATTTTGAAATGAGTTCTCGTTTGGAAAAGACTATTTATGTATGATTGTAACAATAATCATAGTTAAGCATAATTCTATAATGGTCCAGTTACCTCAGGGTGTCTTCTGTCGATCGAACGTATTTCCGAATGCATGCAAAGCCAATACTTTTAAAAAATGACTACTTAAGCAGCATGCAATTTTCCCATTGATTTCAGATGCCCTTAAAAAGTCAATTATATTTCATGGAAAACATGCACAAAAATATCCATTTTTTACTTGTTCGGTAGGAAATTACGTCTTCTTCCAATTCTAAACTCGAAGGAAGAATATCATTCGGTTTAAAAAACTTTTATAAATCCTGAATAATTCTGTACCAGACCTGCTGTTATACTTGCATTCAGGGTTTCAAAACTACAAGCCGTATATTTTCCGTGTACGGAAAACCATACATTACTCTACGTATAAAAAGGAAACCATATGGGGTTAATAAAATTAAGCAGTGAATTTAAGCAATATTGTTAACTTTACAAGCCACATTTTTTGCAAAATATTGATGTTGCATGCAGTCGGAAATAACTTATTTCGAAAAAAGACATCCTGAGGTAACTGGATCACTATAGAATTATGCGTGACTAAGGTTATTGTTACAACCATACTTAATTAACCTCTTCGAAACGAGAACGCATTTCAAAATTTCGGCCGACATTTCATGAGTTAGCCCACCTACTGTACGAGCTGACAATTTGAGTAATTTAAGTTTCACACGCAGATTGTCGACTTTAAACCGGCGTTGAAATTTCGGCGTGATACAAAAGAACGCCATGCGACACCACCTACTGCAGAAGAAACTGCATTGCCTGCAGACTCCCCTTCCATCACCGAAGAAACGGTGACGACTACAGAAAACATCGCAGTTTAACCTGTCAATCCGCGTAGGCAACAATTTTTTGCATGTCTTCAGTTGTGCTATTGGGAGGGAAGCCTGAACGGCTAAAGCTGCCAGCATAAGAATAGACGGTTCCTTCGAGTTGGGCCAGAAGTACACGATGGCACTACTAGCTTTTGGCGGCAGTTTAGCTAACTGAATTGCTCCATGGGAATTTTCGCAACTTCATAATTGAATTAATTTTAAAGGCCGTCGCCGCAAGTGCAGGCAAGAGTCTTCCGTAAATTAAATCACAAGAAATAGCAGTCAGCCCTTTCTGACAAAATCTGGATAGAAGTTGCATAATTCAAAATCACTTCCTATTGGGATGACACTGATCAAAGGTATGAGGAGCATAAGCGTAGAATTTCAAGTGTGACCTTAGTAACAAAACGACTTCGAGTCCATAACCATGCGCACTGATGGGTAGGAGCCCAATCAATACGTGGACGGGGGTGCGGTACGTTGTCATCACTAGTCTTATCGGCTCTCAGTGTTGAACTGTAATTCTGACAGGTAAAATATAAACCAGTGAAAGACAGCATTTCTGCTAGCCAGTTTACCTCTGCCGATGTTACCTCAGGGCAACCTGAATTATATTTGGTCGGATCTTATTTCGTAGCCTCCAGTTGACAAGCCTCAGTCTAACCCCCAACCCCTAACCCTAACAGGTACGGCTACGAAATCAGATCTTGCCTTATATTTACCAGCTAAACCCTCCCCCAGGGTAGTTAACTGAGAGGGTGGTTCTGGATGGCATTCGCAATTCTAAACCTGGACAGCAAATCAACCAACCAGTGGCAGAAGTTTCAAGGGTAGATCTAATAGATTGCCCGTTATTTTCAGCAAAAGAGTATGAAGTATTCAATCAGGAATGGGTGCACACCGATCTATTGGCTTCACGAAGCAAACAAACTGCGCATGGACGGCAAAGGTCACGAACAGGCAACCAGTTACCAGGCCGAAGTCGGCCAAGTCATAATAGCAGCAAGGAGGGACGACAAAGAATGCGCATAGCACAGTTTCGGGTTTTTCTGCCTTCATTCAGCCAACCATAACCCTAACCAGCAACTGGGATCAGAAACACAAAGATGCGCACAGACGCACCTGGCGCAGTTGGTCCACCACTGGAGTCTTCCAGATGGGTCGTAAGCACCTCATCGAACCGAAGTTCATCAGTGCCTCGCACCCGTCATTCTCGGTCGCTGCAGATCGGGTATTTATTCAATCAGGAATGGGCATACACCGATCTATTGGCTTCACCAAGCAGCGACAGAGAATGACAGGTGGCGAGGCACTAATGAACTTCGGTCCGATGAGGTGCTTACGACCCATCTGGAAGACTCCAGTGGTGGACCAACTGCGCCAGGTGCGTCTGTGCGCATCTTTGTGTTTCTGATCCCAGTTGCTGGTTAGGGTTATGGTTGGCTGAATGAAGGCAGAATAAGCCCAAAACAGTACTGTATAAATCTACCCGCATTCTCTGTCGTCCCTCCTCGCGAATAGTATGAGGTATGTTAAAATGCCCTCAAAAGACTGCCTAACGACCTATTTAGTGCAACAAAAGCCGAAAGAGAGTAAGAAAACCCAGGTTATCTCCCTTTACTTTGATTAAGCTGCTACAAAGTTAAGCTGCATGCAAGCCCTGTCTTACCTCAGCTGTGCCAAACTGGTGAGTTAATCGAGTAATTTCCGCTGCGGGGTCAGGTGCAGAACTGTTTGACGCGTTCCAAGAGCCATTAATGTCCCTTCGTCTGGCAGGCAGCAGTCCATTACCTTTACCCAACTGCATCGCAGTCATTCGCTCCTTCAACTCGCGAGTCAGTGTGGGCATATGAGCAGCTGCGGTTAATGGAGAATAAAAAAATTCCCGATTCCTAATAGCGAATACAAATAAAACCAAGGCAAACAAACCGACAAAACAGAATAATAAAAATAAATAGATCCAAGACCGTTGTAAGACCCCGTCTGGCAGAAATTACACGGAGCAGTGACAGTAACTCGCTATAAATGAGGTGGTTATCAGTTGGATGATGAGGAGAATGGAAAATATGGACCTGCAGTCTGAGACTTGCGGCTTATTGTATGATTTGTGGTAAATTCTGTTTTTTTGGAAGAAATCCCAGATCTGCCCGGTAGAGTTTTAAGTTTGTTGAACCAAGCAAAATGTCGTGCCACTAAGTAAATAAGCTACCTAGTATAGCATTTCACCCTCTCGCAGATTTATTGAAGATGACATAGTTTCCTTGGCTAAGGTTATGCATAGGGGCAAACAACGGTTACATCCTTGATTGCTACACCCACGTATGGCCCTTGAGAAAGGAAGAAAAAAGACGAATAAATAAAGTTAATTGACCGAACGTGCTGTGTTCTTTTGAATGCGAGCTAGATGCTACAAATAATATACAAAACTGGAAAAGATAGGTCATCATTACTCTTGCTTCAAAACTTCAGAGCATGGTTTAATTCGACGTCTCAAATTTCCTCGTAGGATGGTTTTTGCCTGCGAAAGTTTATCTCTTCCGTAAGACGTCTCACTCAATTGCATTTCCCCAAAAATACACGAGTAACCTCACGAGTACGAAAGTGTGAAGTGCACTCTCCGCTGCCATCTCCAGCACAGTTGGTGCGCAGACTTCAAAAAGAAACTTCGTTTCAGCAGGCAGAAATAAACTGTCGTTTCTATGTTAAGGACATGGATTTATTGTTTTAAGGACAGAAGAGTATAGCTTAGAGCAACGGGCGTGGCGTGCGAATGTTAGGGTTGCCAAAGGTTGATAGGAGGGTAGCAGCAGAGTCAAACTTCACATAGGTTGACTCAACATTCAGGCGCTGGGAAAAGGGCTGCATTTACGAGTCAAAAATAGAGATTGGGAATCACACACACCTGTCTTTTAAGTCTGAAATGTATACAAAATTTGATGTACTTACGTTGTTTATGGCCTGAAAAAGGGGAATGGAGGACAAAACAACACATTTTTAGTGTAGAACAAGCATTGGAATTCGTGGGCGTTCCAGAGCATGAGTCAAAGACGTTTAGGAAGCATACGCAGCCAGTTAAACTCACCGATAATCTGTTGTAGAATCCGCTGTTTCCTCGCACTTGAATTGCCGACCTCGGCTGAAGTGGGACAAAGTCAAATCTTTGTGTATATGGCTACGAACTGGCAACAAGTTTAATGGTGCGTGAAAGTGAGCGTGCAGACATGTGGTGATGGCGCATTTTTAGAGTAAAAATTAACACTGGATAAATACATGCTCGGGTACGCTTGGCCGCTCTTTCGTTCTTGGTTAGCATGGGTACTAAATACGTCACTGACAACTTTGAGCTGATCTGTTTTGGCGCAAGATCCTCTTCATTGTGTAGCATTAGTGAACCGACCGAATCCACTCGAAAAGTGATCTCTGCCTGATGAAAAAGTCTGGTGCGCACACCAACCTATTCTTTCAAAGTCAGTACGGCGTTCACGAAAGTATTCAACAGTGCACGTGATACACTCGCGTTGAAGCGCTTATATATGTATAAAAGCGTCCAAAGAATTCCGGCTTAGGTCTGAGAGGCGTCTGATCATACAAGGAACGGTAGCATGCGACCCCCTTGCTTCGAAATGACAAAAGTGAGAACAAGCCTTAGTAATTTCGCTTTGCGATGCAAAAGATGCAAACACTATACGCATTTTACTCAAATAACTCCAACTTCTTATTTCAGCTGATAGGATCAAGATTTATTGAAAGTTAAGTAATCAGGTTGTCTTATACTTTTACCTGCCGTTACGGCTCCTGAGTCCAAAAATGACGAAGAGTCCTCTTATGCCATTGACTCCCTATTACCTTTATTACGCACATTTCTGACATTCATAGGATTTATAAACGTTATAAGCTTATCGTCAACTTAACATGTAGTCCTTAGGCAACTGCAACAACCTAAAACCCCCCTCCGAAGTCGCAGATGGACAGAGATCATGAAAGGCATCAACAAAAGCACACATTTTCCAGGAATTCCCAAAGGCAATCAATGGGTATTCAGAACCTAATGAGTCGGGAAGTTAGACATCTCCAATCCCCCTTCGCGAATTTTTGATGCCTCTATTCATTGGTAAGGTATGGCTTTAGGATGGAAAGCATTCGGCCGAAAGGAAATAACTACACCTTATTAATAAGTACATTATACATCTGGTGCAGAGAGAGGGGAGTTAAATACTGAGAGAAAAATATGCAAAAATGTAGTAAGCTAGACAAACCCACGTGTTTTGGTTGACAAAGTAAAGCTGAAGTTCGCAGGCAGCACAATCTAACCACAAGACACCAGCAATGCTACAGACCGGAAAATCGTTGCCGCAAATGTTGAAATTAGTCATCCGTTGCAAATTCCTTTCGACTACCTAAAAGGCTCATCCTTGAAGTTAAGGTGGACCAAATGGAATTGTGATTACTTTTCTACGCACTTGGATTTTTTGTGCATCTAAAGTGTTCGAAGATATACGCTTATTTCGAAATAAGATAAGGTTGGCTGATGAAAGCGATATTCGACAGGACCGATTCGAGTGGAGTTTACTTCCCGCGAAAACGGCAATAAATAGAATGCACTGCACTGCTTAGTGTCGACAAAAACATGACATCGCCAAATTCCCCTCCTCCAGTTTACCAGTTAAATACTTTGAGTGGGGGCATATACCAATAATTCTTCCCAAAATTCAAATGCAATAACTTCAGTCTCTGCAATAGACGGTATTTCAAATGACTTCGATGGTTTTAAACTGATTTTTGGCCAACCTGTCGTGTGTAACACGGTCTAGTCGAATACTGAGACCTAACGAAAGCTTAATAGTTAATTTCTCACTCTGTTCCTATGAGCGACGGAATTGAAATGACGGTTCAGTATGCCTTTTCCGGACAGAGACCCTACACTTTATGTCACTGCTCTTATGTTAGCCTACTCAGATTTCTAGGGAAAGATGTAGTGGCCGATAAAGCGTTAGAAGTAGTACAACAATGACAAGCGCAAAATATGCACAGAACACGGCACAGACAGACCTACCTGAGGTCATGCTCAGGACCTGGCTGAATATGAATATCTAACTGCAATACCAGTCAAAGGAGCGATAAGGTCGTCAAGTAAGGCACCGCAATTTCCATTTCCAAACTCCATGGATCACTCGCAGATACGCATGAATGATGAACCCAACAGACATCGTGATCTCCCGATTACCATAAGGTAATCGGCATTGTATCACAGTGAGCCGAAGCATAGCGGGTTCCACTGTTATCAGCCTCACTGCTACGTTTCAGCACACTTTGATGAACCGAACAGGTCAAATCATAGACTCTTGTATTACACGGAGGGTATATGCAAATGGTTGAACCTTGACCAGAATTTTTGGCGAAAGTGGTGCATGTGCAAACCGAACGAACTCCGGTTGGAGCAAGCCACAGGCCATCGAACGGCCCCCCTAGAATGACACCGACACCTTGATTCACTCTGAGAACAAAGGCTGAAAAAGGGGTACTGCTTGCTGCATACTAACTGGCGTAACAAGTATTGAAATTTTTGAGAAATCGAGTCTACAAACTCCCCTGGCATTTTAAATATGCATATTTGTCTTATCAAAAGTCCTTTGAGTAGGACCTAATGACGTCTACCCCCAATAACTATGAGTTGGCTGCTAGGGGAACCGACAGATGGGTTTAACAGGAGTCAAACTGCGGAGACTCAGTACAAATAAGAGTGGACTTTGGTGCCCTCCTAAGGACCAAATAACAGGAAGGGAGATCTACTTGCTAAATTTGACTCTGTAACAGGTGTACCAAGAAACTGCTCATCTAACATTATGCCGCGACGGTAATCGCAAATACGAGACGCTGAAAGTGGTCAGGTTTCTGTTCGGCAAGACGCTTGTTTATGTTCCACAGTCTTTTACTGAAAATGACATTTCTGAAGTTCAAATAAAATGTTTAATTAAAAGTAGACCTTTTACGTATTAACATAAAAATGACTGGGATGGTCAAATATAGTCCTGCAAATATTTGAAGTTAAAAGTGACTTGAGCTTGACATTGAGGCTAAGGATAGCACAGCAACTCTTAGGATTTATTAAATCTCTACGAAATTGTACAGAAACTGTCGTGTTTCAATCACGGGGAGTAGTATGTGAGTAAATACGACAGAGGACCGAATTTGTCTTCCTCGAAGGTCGGGGGGAGGGTTAACTCAGTATTTATGGCGTGTGCAGGATTCCAAATGGCTGCGCTAGTTGCCTAACAAGTGGAGAGTTACAGTTTTATTACCTAGCATGACTGTGCAGTGGACCACAATGCTGAATCAAATTATTTAAGTTACTGCAAACTGGAAGAAAAGTGAGCCCAACCCCAATCCGATGATATGAGGGCATGCGAGATAGTTAGGTGAGTTTAAAGTGAATTACCCACGGGGAAGCTTACAACGCCACTGCCAACGAATGAGACTTTAAGCTGATGGTAGAGGGGCCCTCGTCAATCGTCTTACGGATCTCACTCGTCCCGTTGTGCTTTGGGACTCTCTCTCTCTCGAGCACCGCTAGCATCCGCACAGCGGCGCGTAACATAGGCTGGCTGACGAGAGTTAATAAGACGGAAATGGCCATTCCAATCTCCTTTGCCTTTGTTATTTAAGCTGATGGTTTGAGTTACTCCTAACTTACTAAAACACCTGCTAAAGCTTCAAGCTTATGACCAGGACTGTGCCAAATTCCTTTTGAAAAATGTGAATGTGGGGAGTTCCGTGAAGGGTGGTTGAATTTCAGTGAGGGTGTTAGTGCAGCTGCGGAGCGAGTGCGAACGTTAAACACCTTTCCATTGTGCAAAGGATGGACTTGAAAGGGATGCTGGAAACATGCGAAAGGTGAACTGTGCCAGTTGATGGATCTGTTGCCGTCCTTCCTGATTAAAGCTGATACATACCTCAAAGGAGAACCATAACATGCTCGATAGTTCTCACTCAATTTTGAATTTTTTCCGTTTTGAAGGTGTACATTTGGATATTACCAGATTATTACTCCTCGATTTTTTGACTTGACACATGAACCGACAAAATATTCCAGCAGCGTCCGCAGATAGTTGATGAATCACAACAAACTTCACCATGTTTTTATTCCTTGTTTACATTTAGATTTCCCAAATCTTACAAAGTAACCTTAGACTATACTGGTAGGTCTGGAGACTATCTTTCGTCTAGCCTGTTGCCCTGGATCAAAATGCTGAGGGGATCAGGCAATCTAGAATCTCACTGATAATCACGTGAGGAAAGTGGTCGGGGCGATGAGTTAGAGGGACTAGTTTGAGTTCGAAAATAACTGAGTTGGAAAACGCAATCAAGAGGGCGTAAGCTACTACGTTAATCTGAGTGCGTTATGCGAATCAAAGGAAAGAAAACCACTGCCTGGAAAGTGCAAGCGAGATTTATTGCAAATTCGGACTACAGGTGTGAGCAAAACATTTCTCTCATCCACGGGAGTGTCTTCCGTTCAGGGAGTAGAACTAGAATCTATGATTTCTCCCTTAAAAGCAAAAAAACAAAAGTGGGTGTAAGCGCTTCAGAAATGCTGCCGACAGACACTATTGATAAGTAGCACCGTAATTAGCCTGAGATAGAAACTGCAAAATCGCAGGCACATCGCCAATGCCCCTCCCCTATAATGAACACTGTCTCTGTATGTACTCCCACGCAAAATGACGTAGGAAATCCACGTTTAGATCTTACGACTGAGTACTGGGGGCAGAGGGCTAATAGAGGACAATGGGGATCTTTGAAGAAGAAGAAGAAGAATTGGAGGTAAAAAACCTTGAAATCAGTTCAAGCACACCCTAGTAGAGATGCCATATATAAAGGGCAACCAGTAAAGATGTTAGTCAGTTAGCAGCAGAGAGGAGTGCAAAGGGGAAAGAATTACGTGGGGTGGAGAAAACCAAAGCGAAGCGTAGCCTAATGAATCCACATGCACTCCATTGCGGATGCTTGTCAGTGTACCTAGATCGTTATGTCATTGGAACGTACAAGTAGCTAAGCCTTACTTTCGGTTTAGTAACTTTTATTTTTTTCCCATAAATAAGGTGCCGCAATTAAATAAATGGCAAATGCTTAAACGGCAGAGAGCACATTCTCAAAAGAGATCCCCATCCGTCGCATACAGTGGGGATAAATGACTCATTTTCGTTCGGATTTTGAAATATTTTTTATTTTGAGCACAGTCTTTTACGACCTTTAGATGTTAATCATAGGGTAATTTAACTTACAACTATCTTGCTTGGTTCCCAAGGTGCCCATGAAACCGAGATAAGCTAAGGAATACCAGATGACAATTCGAACGAATCTTATAGCCCAAAACATAAAGTACTTGCGTACAGAGTCGCAGACTTGATCTACAGGAAAATGACACTCTACTAAACCCAAAGAAGGGTTTCGAATCATCGGCACAGATGAGTCAGTTGACTGTGATTTTGGGTTCATAAAAGGTTTGTCATTAAAGGGCAACAGAAATAACAGCAAACAACCGCTCGTCTTAGTTAGTCGGCGGCCGATGTAGGCCTTCCTCTATGTAACCATAGGGCTAGGTATACCAGCGACCAGTCCACTTCAAAACTATAGGCTTTTCTTGAAGCTTGATATATAAGAAGAGAAATGGCCAGGTCTGCAACAAACAAGTCAACTCTAATAGAGGCCCAGATCCTCGCCAAGAACTCCTTAATCCGCGAGCCGAGTGCTATGAGCAAAACACTGACAGCATAAACTGATTTCTGTTTGTCAGAAAGGTGCTGTATTTAACATTTATTTGCTGCTGTCCTGCTTGTATTGGATTACGCAATTTTGCAGACGCCAAAAATCTCGGAAGAACATGAGTTCAGTGAAAAAACCCTCGGTTGGGTATCATTCCTCACCTTCCGTAGGAATCAGGTTGTACGAAATCACTCCCATAACTTCAGCAGGAGGAGTATGATGAGGGCATCTTTGCATTAAATAACTCAGCAATGTCATTTATGATATGCGACTGGTAGTTCGCAACTCGGGAATGTAGTAGTAGGTTGTGGAACCCCCCCTGCTTAGTGAGTCATCATTGTTCAGGGGTAAACGTTCGCTTAGGCACATATATATAAACACTGCTATTCTGAACATTGCTTCGACGAACTTATGGAAGTATTCGGTCTCTGAATTACAACGATGAATAATATCAGAGTGGTATAACAATTGTCGCACGGAACACTGACTATGGTCGATAGCAGCATTTGTTGAAATTCTAAATTTTGGAAGAAACGAAAGACAGTTTCAGATATTTCGCACACCTGTACACGAAGCTTGGGACCCACTACCTCGCAGACGGCGCATGCGCAAAGTTAGACGCAAAGTTTACAGTATAGCGCGAACTATTATCCAAGACTTAGGTCCTACTCCTGCTTCTATGCAGCCTGTCCGCAAGCTCTGTCATGATCGTTGAACCACAGACCGGTCTGTGAGGAATCTTTGTTTCCAATCGCAACAGGACATTGCTGTAACCGGAAACGCTACAGATAAGGCATTGTCAGTCCTTACCAAAAGATCCAGCAAACTGAAATTACATGCCATTTCGATCTCGATGCGGGCTGTGCTCAGCCAAGGTACCAAGCTCCCGCAGCACCGACTAGACTAAAACACATCGGCCAGACCTCGTGAATAAGCGAGGTTTTTTCGTGATAAACGACCCCGTTCAGCTCCCATCGCGTATGAGCGATGAAAGGCTTATTCGGACAGAAGGAAGTCTTTTCAGCTGCATATGGGTATTAGCCAAATGAGGAAATATGGCCCTTCTGAGGAGAACCTACGTGCACAAATAGTGGGAAATCGCCACAGCAGTAGAAGCCTATTGTAACATCAGACCTACAGCAGTACTGAGGAGAGAACATAAATCTTACCGTAAGTGGAATCGTCAGTCTGAACGGGCGGAGGCGGTGGCGGTGGAGGCGGTGGTGTAAACTTCTGTGGCGAAGAATTTTGCGTTGCCTTCTTCGAACGGTGAGCTGTTTTTGTAGTCTGGACAGGACTCTTTGAAGAAGAGCTAGACGAAGATGATGAAGAGGAGGAGGAAGAAGAGGAAGAAGTGGAGTCGGACCTGCGTCCCTTGCCACTTGACTTTCGAGTACTTGTCTTGGGCTTCCTGCGTCTGGAACGACGCCGTGGTGATCGCGAGGATGTTCTGCGCGTGCGGCCGCCCTCATAGTAGCCATCATCATAACTGTCACCCCGATGGCGTCTATCGTATCGGTCTGCTCTGTAGCCATTGGCGTAACCGTCATAGATGCTGCTATAGGGATTGCCCATCATCATCGGCGGTGGCGGTGGTGGTGGCCCGGCGAACGGTTGCATGCCGTACGGACTCATCTGGGGGGCTGGGGCGGGCATCATGCTCGGCATCATCGGACCGCAGGCAGGCATGCCCGCCGGCATCATGGGTGCCATAGGTGTCGGAATGGGCATTGGAACTATAACCGACGTAGGCTGCGCAGGCGGTTGCTGTGGCGGTGGTGGAGCTGGTCGAGGCGCTGGGGCGCTAGGCGGACTCACCAAGTAATGAATCGCCGGCCCAGTACCGCCCTGTGCCGACTGTGAAGGCACCACAAGCACCGTGGGCTGTGATGGATTACCGGTTTGGGCAATAATTGGTTGAGCATAACCACGAGTTGTCATGGGCTGTGCTTGCACCGTCTGGAATGCTGAGGGCGTGGCGTACTGCACAATGGGCTGACACTGTGCAGGCTGATTCTTTGAATCTCCGCCTTGAGAGCGCTTGCCGCGTCGGCTGCTGCTCTGTCTCCCACCCCTACAATTATCTTCTTCGGAACTTTGTTCCACGAAGTGGGCACATGTGACAGTTTCGCTATCCTCTTCGTCCTCCGAACAGGGGCTAGGCGACATGCGCTGATCTTTGCGAGATGTGGTTTTGTGGCTGGATTCCTTAATGGTGGTGCTCTTGCGTGTGGACGCCGTCTTAATGCGCGGCGACTTGGAGCCCTGTCTGCTAGGGGTGCGTTGGCGACCCGAACGGTCTTCTTCCAGCGGAGTTATGCAGGATTTCGGCACGTGACCCGTCGCTCCGGTTGGGGTCCTCAAACAACACCACTCTCCACTGTCGTCCAAGACCTATGGCAGTAAGCATAAAGGCAGACTATGAATTCTCGAGCTGTGCTTGCAAACCACATCCTAGTTTGTGTTTCATTAACCAGCAACGAGACAAGTGGCCTTGCACCGCACTTTAATCCTGCGGCCCTCAGATGCCAGAACTGCAAGACACATCATTTTCTCCTTGGTCAACCGTATCTCGAACAGTGCCAACAGGAGCATGTTTAAACACAACCCTACGTATCGACAAGCGAGTGACTAGCAACCATAATATATAGATATATTCTGTTATATCTGTCCACTTGTTTGTACAGACACGCACCACGCACTATTTGGCATTCGGCTTATTTATTCAACAATAACTTTTACTAGATTCTCATTTCAAGTTTTCCTAAAAGTTATTATTCCTAAACGACTTTCTATTTTTTCCGATGCTTTGATTGTTTTCTTTTGGACCGTGGTCGATCGCTTGCAAGTGAGACTTTCCATCCATGCGTTAAGGCCAGTTTGTAAGGTGATGGGAATAATTTGTGCCTGTTTATTATGTTCGTTACCTGCAATATTTGATGCATTTTCAAAAAAGCTCCTTAGGATTTTCCAGACTGTCTAAATGAGAGACAAATGATTTATCGGACTACGTTCTCTGAATATAACACTATGTGTTTAAGGAAGATAGGAGGTACTTTTTTTTCTACCTTGGTTAGCCTTTATGAACTTCAATTTTTTTGCCATTGAAATACCCCCACTTGATTTCAAAATCCTATTTGGTGAAAAAAGTATAATTCCACACTTATTCACCCATTACGTGACCGATTTGCTAAAACCATGACTCTGTGCGGTCTGACTCGCGATGTAAATTAAGACAAAAAAGATATTATAAAAGCGGAGAACACGGAGGGCTCGGTGTATAAAATAGCTATTAATTTGAAAGAAAAACACATAGTCCCTACTGAAATGAGGGTTTTAACCGTACTGAGAGGATTGGAAAAACCAGGTTCATCTGAGCGATACCGAAGACAGAAACAAATATGAGAGAACGACAAAATGTAAAAACCGTAAACCATATATCGAACTGTGTAGAGAGCGAGTGAGTCGTAGGTTCTATGTGTACTCCAAGTCTTTGTCTAGTAGTTGATTCGGTAACCTCTGCTGAAGCATGGGATGCGGCCCGAGGATTTGCGTCATGATGGAGTGGAAACAAAGTTTGTAGCGCAGTCTCATACTTCTGAGCTATTTCCTGATCAGTTTTTTCTCCTTCCAAGCCTTTCAAATGCTGTACACAAATGTTTTGTAACGTTTATGAGCTAGAACATGAACTCAGAGAGCACTCCAATAGAATCAAAAACAGTATCAAAAACCTTTGTTTATATTTATCTAGTTTGATGAGAACACTGGTGATCAAATATAAAAGACGCACTTTACATTAATTTAATTGTCGAAAATCCCAAATCTTACAAGTTCCTGAAAGTTGATCGCAACAACCTACCGCGTGTCGTTTATCAAGAACCCGAATAGGTCTCCCTGATAGTGCTTCCGGCTGTTTAAGCAACACGACTTGGTCCTAGCTCTCAGCTGAATGACCTGGCTGTATACCAACCGATGTCCTGTTTCTCTCGCAAGGGGAACTAGTTTGAGAGAATAGTAGCAATCACTAAATGGCTCTCCTGCACCGCCTAAAAACCAGGGCGTATCGACACTGTTGGATGACCCAACAAGGTAGAAAGACTGAGGTGGGAGTTTGGAAGTGCTGTAACAAGATAAAATCGAGCGGTTTGACCCACCAATAAATGAGCAGCTCTACCGCTGAAGTGCAACAAAAGTGGATAATCGACGCTGGTGTAACCGTTGACGACAGTGGGATTCTGTTCTCTCGCTATCTCTATGTGTGTGTGTGTGTGTGTGTGTTTGTGCACTCGTACGTTCGTGATGAGTCCAAGCCGTACCGTTTATGAACATCCAAATGCAAGGTCGGAAAAACAACACTTCCAAGAGCTACTCATGTCAGTAATTAAATTAACTCGACCAATACAATATTTCGGGCAGTCAAAAGAGCTTGAATTGGAACAACTTGAACTGAATCAGCCCCACAACTGATAGGGGTTGTTTGAGACAGTGTTGTCAGCGTTGCCCAATTAATTGCACGGCAGATTAGATTATGCAGTTTTAGCCCTCGGAGGATGAAAAAGTAGGGGAAATTGCATACTCGAGCAGAGTTATGATGAGCGTGAAAAACCCAACAACTTGGGCTTTGCCTATTTTGATCAAATTTTCAGTGGGTTTTATAATATGACGCGTGTAAAGACAGAAAAAAGGAAGTTATTACAAAAAATGGTAAAAGCAGGACGGTTTTCTCACTTCTAAGATGTCTCCGACGTTTACGCTCAGTTCTCTGACCGCTTCACTGACGTTCTTTTGCTTCGCAATAACGAGTCTGGATTTAAACAAAATGCAATAAGAGTTCAAACGACTGCAATGGGGCCGATTAAAATGAAATAATTACGTAGAATTGATGGCTAATTAAAACCAGCGGAACGAGCGCATGATTGTCTTTAAATTCTACTAAGAACGCTCATTTGCAGAACAAAATTCTCACAAATGGCTGTCTAAAATAGAGAAAAACACTATATTAAGAGGACCGGATTTTTCTCAGATGAGAATAATTTTTCATGGGGCTCTCCTGATCAAATGAAGACCAAGGATTAATGCAAAAATCAGTAGCAAACTCTGAGCAGGACTCAATTTGCTTATTCTGAAATTTCCATTCCGGGGATGGATTGTGAAACACATATTTCGGTACGCCAGACCTTGCAAAATCACGTGATGACCGGCTATTTATTTTACGTTTTATGCATTATAAGGTTTATCCTTTATTTCAAAGAATACTGGGCAATACTTCAAAGATAGTTTAGGGAGAAAGATATGAAACAGCATGATCCTGCCGCTTGCTGCCCCGATCCCCTTCTAATTATGACCCGCGAGTCCAGATCGATTTTTATGCAGCCCAAGTTGACAATAACGGCCGACGAGTTGCTCGGAGGATTTATCTGTTAAACAAAAAATTCTAAACAATATTCGGCACCTTCTCTTGGTAAGTTACTACCCAGGGGTCAGAATGACAAGGAAAGTTCTGCTAATTCCAAAGTTTAGAACAGCTCATCAATTTTATGCCGATGACGCCTTGCCTTAGCTTCTGAAAAACACCACTCGGGATGTAAAGCCTAGCAAAAGTCCCTGAGGAGTAAAATGACCGCATGTGAGCAACTGAGGTAACGAGAAACCATGTCCTTTCCCCCGACCCCATCCAACCAATCTAGCAAAAATCGTTGCGGGAACCACACAGGTTGACTGCACAGAACTTTGAGCGGCTGTCTAATTCTAAGAGGGATTTAGTGAGGGGGGAATCCTAACTGTTGACCAGCAAGTTTAATATGGCGTAAAGTTTATCATGGATGACTACTTTCTGAAAGTCAACTATTCGCCGTGTGGACTATGTCCGGTATGGAAAATGAAACAGAACCATTTAGCCAAAACTGTCAAACAATAATACCCTGTCAGTCAGGACTTACTGGCCTTTGCGGGCATGTACTGCGTTGATAAAGGCCTCAATATCCGGCGCTTTCGACTCCCTTGTTGAAGAGGCCGCACTGAGTGCTTTAAATTGAAACGGCACATTTATCAACAATTTTTGCCTTTGATAGTATCGACTCGAAAGCGTTTTCCCCGAGTTTAAGCAAAAAGTTCGAAATTGAGAATGCATTTGGTTTTAAGACACAGTTTGTCAGCAAATACAGACTGAGCAGGTGGAAATACTTACTTGGCGGAGGTTCTAAATTTTAAAAATGATGGTTTTAAGTGGGTTGATTACGCTTAGTAAGTGAATTAAGCAAGCAAGAGAGTGGTTCATTTAACCAATAAGTAAAAAAGAATAGATAGACAATCGGGCGTCCTAACTCCCATTTCAAGGACTTGACAGGCCATGTAAGATTTATTTAACGCTTGAACCAAAGGAAAATTGGTAATAGTAAAATTATTTTCAGAAAGTGATAGCACCAGCTTGTGCAATAGGGCTGCATAACATTTGGGATATCATGTGATCAAATCAGTGACTAAGCAACTGCAGGACTAAAACAGCTGAAATCAAGTTTCGAAGCTTTTGGGGCTAATTATTGATCCTAAAGTTTGATGTTGCTTTTAGAACCATTTTTAATTTGGAACATTGCTTTTGTGGCATTTAAAGACTTTGATTTCACCCGCGGATAACGACAGATTGGTTGAATCTGACGTCGACTAATAGAATATAAGTCCCTTACAGTGCAAACGTTTTGTCGTTAAATTTCATGAAAAACGCAGGATATTCTCAAGGAGCTTACAGTTTTTGAGGATATTATCAATCTACTAGATAAACGTAACTTCTGAATGGCTATCCTCACTAACTGGCTGCTATTTGTGACATATGTTGTAATGAAAGAATCGCTTATTTAAACAATGTTGACTTTATGACGCTTAAGAAGAATTTAGGGATATAGATTCTTCATCTTAAATAACAGGATGACAGTTAGTCCGCAAAACATAAGACGTTGCTTACTGTAGTATCCGTAGTCCCTAATCGTGATCTCTGGCTTAAATTCTTGCTGAAAGATAAGATCGGGGCGAAAATAGTAAAAACGCCAGTTTTGTGTGGACGGTATTGAAATCATATTTTAAACTAGTTTCGTGCTTTTAAAATTGCAGATTTTAATGTGATATTGTAATTTAGCCGATATATAAACAGAACGCTTGTTCGGACATACAGTTTTCTCGATAACAGTTGTCCTTTGTGGTGGAAGGAATTCCGTGCCTGTCTGCATTGTAGGCTTCCCGCTTAAGCGAAGAAAAATAACTTTTCAGTCAACGGACTGAAGTGATTAAAATGACATATTCGGATTTTTTCTAAAAACTTAACATCTGTTTCATTTTAAAACGTCTACACATACAATACACTAGATCGTGTCCAATCCGTAGAATCTGCTGGGTATAAAAACAATGTTTTCAAAGATTAGCCAAAGAAAGAATGGCCATTAAACAAGAGCCAGAGCGCTTCCTCTGAATTCCAACCTGTTTCCAGCAGACCTGGAACTGAAGCTCTTTGGCATCGGGGTATGTTAACTCATTGTTGAAAGTCGTTTGGGTCGGAATTATTTTAATCCCTATTTATCAGATAGGCAATTCGAGAAGGGCAAAGTTAGGGTTTAAAATTGTCAAATGCTCGAACAAAAAGGTAGATCTGTGCCTTGGTTATGCAATACCAAAACAGATCAGATATACTGAACGATATCTTAAACAAAATCTTCGATGACCACCACATGTTAAACAACTGCCTAATGAGATTTGTTGTAGTCCACGAACAGTAGAGGAATGAATTGGAAAATTTGGTGTCAAACGCTTAATTGATAGCGATAAAGGAATTAAAGCCGATGTTTAATAGCCCCATGGGTAATCAAAACATACGCGAAAACATCCTTGGCCTTAAAATAGAAGGAAAAAGGACAAATCTTCCGTCCCTTTTATTTATATTTTAAAGTAAAAGTCCCCATCAGGCCGCCAGGCATGTCCGTGCATCGATTTTCGTAACAACATTGGCAGTAAGCCGGGTCTCTACAAGACTAACCTTGACAGACGACTTAGTCGACGACTGTAGTTGTCTTATTAATTGATTTGAACTTATTGCTGACCTGGTCAGTAAAAAACTACAGCAAAATTGGTGTGTTGGCCGAATACAGGCAACAACAAAAATATGAACATATATATATGTTGACGACTTTGTACTATTTTTGGAGTAAAATACTGACGTTTTGGTCAGAAAAGGAAAAGCGGCCAACTAAACCACACTGTCACTGAAAGAACTTACCGTTAAAACTTTCAAAGTTAAAATGTCGTGTGACTTGAAGAAATGCACTTTGCGCTAAAATGTTGTTCTCGTTTATCAGGATTGAAATGAGAATCATGGGAAAATTAACTTGGATACTAGCCACTTGCGTGCTAAGAAAAAGATTGATGTACATGCAATAAACATAGACATAAGATATCTGACGAAACGTTTCTAAATATAACGGACGAGAATCATCGCAAAGGTGACATCTGTGTTAACATAAACCAGTAGCATGTTTAAAAGACACACCTGGGTTGCGTCCAAGCGTCGCCTAAACTGCTCCAAAATGCTTTATTGGACGGTTGTAAGTATCTTTGCAAAACCGATAACGTTCGATCTGTGAAAGCTGGCCTCCAGACGGAACGCACCAGATTAGAGTCGTAGTGCAGCACGCGATTACAATCACAAATTTTCTGTATCCACCAAAGTGACTCGAAGAGCCTATTCAGAAGTTCACCGGGTCCTGGATCTACGATTAGTTCCTCTAAGTCTGCCGCATAGTTGATGCACTTTCTAATGCTCTGAATATTTTCAACGGCGGCCTCATAGGATGGAGGACTCAGGCTGTCACGCCAAAGTGATCCTAGGAAAAAACAGCAGACTCGAAATGCACTGTATCAAAAGGACATAAATATTGATAGAGAGTGATAAAGGTTAATATCAAAGGACTAAAATTAGCGGTAAGGGTAAGAGAAATATGAAGTTAGTGTACAACTTCATATCTATCAGCAAACTACATTTTAAATTCAATAAATTCTAAGACTCCTGTTTGTATCCTTTGCAAATATGTCGTTTTATGCAATACTTACGAAGCCACTTTGAACTAAATTGTCTTGTGTACACTAAAACTACCGGGGCATCTTTATGATACAAATTTAATTATTGGCTTGCTTATACGTTTTTAAACTATCTGAAGGATATTCCTCAAAAAGTGAACAAAAATGTTCGGTAAACTTCCTATTCGAATATTGCGTTTTTAATTACATTGACAAAGCCTTTAATAGGTACCGAAAGAGAGGCCTGTACTTCTCTGTTGGATCGCGAAGCCCGATTTTGCCCCCCTCTAGTGCATATTCTTCTGAAGACCGACAAACAATATTTGTTTTAACTAGACGCTAAGGCTCTTAAATCTCAACAACACCCGAAATTTATACATTTGGAATTTTTCGCTCCCTTCTGACTACTAAACTTGTGAAAGATTCGTGTAAATAAGCTAATTAAAGTACGTTCGAGAGAACCACAGAATCCAAAAGTATACTTTTGGATTCTGCGGTTCTCTCGAACGTATTTTAATTACCTTATTTACACGAAACTTTCACCAGTTTAGTGGAGTTATTTTCTGCGAACAAAAATATATTTTTGTTCGCAGAAAATAATTCCAGACATTTTTCTTTTAAATGTAACAATAATAATTTAATTGGCAAAAGTTCATCAAACGTACTATCGACTTTCCCAGCACCCGTTACTTGGAAGGATATTGCATCATGAAGATTTGCCTCAAACGATTCAACTTCATCAAGAAGTCGATTGAGTTCCTCAAGAAGGCCTGTACCGCTGGATACCTAGTAAAGCAAAATATCATGCTGAACTTCTATTACATTACTAAAGGCTTCATATAGGGATATTTTGGAGGAATTAAAGCTCAACTTACACGCTTGGGAACTTTCCTAATTTTTTGTGGACGGTCAATTGCATCCTTTCGCTTCTCCATTGACCGTGGTGGCATATGCTTCTCCCTTGTGTGGGCTTGGTTGTGTCTAAGCCATTTGGGTAACAATTTAGTCTTACTTTGCATTTTCTGCAGCTTGCTCTAAGGTATTAGCGGCCCACTTCAATTTCGCTTCTGTATCAACCTTAAAGATATGAACTTCGTCCGGACACTCCCCATTTGTCAGTTCGCTTGCACGAAACCGAAAGACTAGCATGTGCGATGCAGGGCCTCCATCTTTTCGAGAACCAGTAAGGCCAAAGACATCCTCAATGCATCTCAAGTCAAAACATTCGGATGGGTCCTAATAAAGTAAGCCAAGCAAAAATATTTTACCCTTTCGTCATCGATTCTGACCGTCAAGTATTCTTCCTCAAATATCTCCAGATGACAGTCCAGAGCGGTCGAATTTGGCAGCCGGGAAACCGTTCTAAGATTTTGTTGAATGTCTTCTGTGGTCATACGTCCATCGTGCTCCAAAAAACTAGCTATATGCTGGGCGCGGATCTCTTCGATCATTTTACGTCCCTCTACAAAGATTCATCATGCATAAATACAAGTAAAATATTAGAAGATACGTAGGCATGTATAATCTCAAATAACCAGACTATCAAATATAGTATAAAAATTCTCTGCTAAGTGTAAAGGTATTAGATATAACGCACTTTTTTAAAAAAACTTCAATTTTCCTATTAATGCGAGGCAACAATATTAAATTTTTGATTTGGATTTCTGTGAGCAACTTGGAATATAGAAAAATCCCTTTTCGAACTCCAGTAAAAGCTTAAAAGTAAACCAACAGAAATTGCCTAACAATATAATGACAAAAAATCGATCAAAATCGCGAACGGAAGGCATATTTAATCAAATGTTAATATGCCTTTCTTGTGAAGTAGAGGGTGCTCACTCACAGAATAGAGTTAACCGCAGAATTTACAAAAGCACCCAGAATTGGACTGCTTAAGAATGTTACTGTAATATAAACAAACAAGGACTGGGAGATCATCGCCGAACAAAAACAGTAAGGTTTTGTTGCTGAAGCTAAACACTAGGCTTTTATAGATAGCCGGAGGCCTTAAGAGACAAGCTATGTTTAAAAAGTTTGTGAAAAATTCTCATGGAGGGTCGATGTTTATGGCAGTTAGAGATTTGTGGGATATTAAATATTCAAGTAATTTCCTGTAAGCATAAGTATGCATGTTTAAATAAAGTCCATCGTTACAACTCCCAAAAATATGCGCCTTGGGTTGTTAGTTAGCCTTCCTTAAACAAAGTAATTGTGCACATAAAACCGTCTGATGGGGATGCATAAAAACCCACGACCCTGAAGCCGGTGAAAGGGTATAAGTATTAAACGGTCTAGTAACGGAACAACGAGAAAACCAAGATGTAGTTAACCGAGCAAAAATGGTTCAGTCTACTGTTAAGGCCGCAAAACAGGTATTTTGTTCTTGCTCCGTCTCACACTATCACTCAATTAGATTTATCTAAGAATTACAGCCATGCTTTACTGTATCAACATGTTTGTGCGTTTAGTTATTTAACCAGAATTCTGACTTTAATCTCTGCGTTCTTCAGATTCCTTTTCCATATGTCCGTCGCTGACGCTAGCGAAATTTTACAACCAAAATTTGGTTTTATGAACGCCTGTGACCGCTATAAGATCGAAAATGTTTAGAGGGCTTTCACCCGGAAACTGTTTTCTCAATTCTCACCCAGTGCTTTTATACTCAGATATGTCAGGTGGCGAACATTAAGTCTTTGTAGGTTAGAAAACGCCAAGCTGGCCTTTGTTTCTTTTTCACATCAACTCTAGCTCCAATCTCCCGCTCATTGACACTCTCACTCCGAGAGATCGGTCTTATGCCACGCGCAACTCCTGCATGGTGATTCCGCCGCCTCTTTGTACTACATCTAAGCGCTCCCTCTTCTTTGCTTCCAAATATGCCTTCCTTTGGAATAATCTTCCGCCTGAAATTAGATTATCGCCTAAGTTACTGGTATTCAAGTCCAAATTACGCAAATACCTTACACCGGAAAGCATAAAGGCACTTTTAACGGTCTCATTCCGAACACTCAGATTCTTGACATCGAGAAGGGTCTGTGGCAGTTCGTGTCTCCTCGTCCTCCGCCTTAGCTACGCTGCTTTCCTGTCCGCCCCACACTCTTTGTCGATACATTGCTGGGATGCGCGAAGCTTTTCATTAGCCTCGCGAGTGCTCGAAGCCACTCTGATTGGCTGGCGGACGCGGAGACAACGAAAGGTGCACACACGAGCTAGGACACAACAGTTTGAAGGCGGACACAGGCAACAGCTTGCTTGGAGAACGCTCGCGGCGACTGCCTACAGATAAGATAAGGTAATTTTTTTATTAAAGACCCGTCGGTGTCCCATCAAAGCAAGTTAAAATAAATTTACATGTGAATTTTAGACGAGGTAGGCAGAATCTTTACAAAATGAAATTCATAGTTTCTGAATTAGTAGTCCATGTAGGCCTTGTGTACGCACTTCTTCAGACAGTAAAGTTTGTCCAAATCAAACCGTCTTCCCTGACTTTTGATTGGGAACCCTTGTCTTGTCGACTACTACACCACTTTCGGCAGGCCCTCCTGGGACTTACTGGTAGATCAAATGGTAACCCTCAATGATATCATTAGAAACCCTGTTTTGAATTGGTTTCTAAATACTCTGCTATCACTCCTCCCCCATAGCGAAATTTTCGCGGTTCTTGATGTCATCTCCCGCATTCCGACCTCATGCGGTATGTCGACGCTCACGGCGGAACCCTCAGTATTCGCCAGCTACTAGTAGTTTGGTCGTACCTCCCTTCCCCACTGCTCGGCTGAGCTCGAAGCGTGCTGTGGCCGATCGCATCTGGGTTCCTCTCGTCTGGCCTCTTTGACGCGAATAGTCTTATCCGGCGTATCAATCCTGCCCTGCCGATGTCAGTTCTGAATCCCGTATACAATACCACATACAGACCAGTCCTGTCCGACCCGCATATTTACACCTCAAGGCTGACACTTATTTCCGCCCTGATGCCGTCTGATTAGAATCCGTTTTATACCGCCATATGCAGGCCAGTCCTCCCCGCATTTTGCTGCTATTATTTTTTAAGGGAAGAGTTTTATTCTCTTGTAAAATTAATCGAATCGTTTTTAAATTTTTAAGTGTTTTTTTTTCACCTTTCGCTGATCATTATTGTTAACGGACTACTAGTTCGGAAACTATGAATTGCATTTTGTACAGATTCTGTTTACTTCGTCCAAAATTCGCATGTAAATTTATTTTTACTTGCTTTGATGGGACACCGACGGGTCTTTGATAAAAAATTACCTTATCTTATATGTAGGCAGTCGCCGCGAGCACTCTTCAAGCAAGATGTTGTCTGTGTTCGCCTTCAAGCTGTTTTGTCCCAGCGCGTGTGTGCGCCTTTCGTTGTCTCCGCGTCTTTAAGAAAATAAATATTATTAAACTCGAGGAAGAAGTGCAGATGAACTCACGGCTAATTACTTAATGACTATTTTTCCACTCCTTGAATCATTATGCCTGTTTCGGTTTCAATTTAGTGCTTTTGCGACCGGATGGCGTCAGTCCCGACAACTGCGGAATATCTAGTAGTCTAATATATTTCGATCGTATAATCACACCGGTGGTGGGAAATTTGTGTGACGATGTCAATCCGTTTCCGCTGGTCATGTTGCACATGCCGTCAAAACTGCTCCTTCTATTTGATCTTGAATGGTTGGATCACCACTGGTCCTCTTCCTCTTACTTTTACAACCAGCACATAGACAGTCAACGTCAGTTAAGACGGAGGTATAGGCGGCGGATTGAAAATCTCTACCGTCAAATCGTCTAAACTGATGTAGTTTAGTATCTAGCACTGTTCATATTCTACCAGAGCTCACAAGGACATGAATGTGCGTTCCCGATCAGCTGAAATCACCGTGCAGTGCTGCTTATGCGTGATCATTGGTTGTTTTCCGCCTTGGATACTCTAAATCAGAAGACACAGAATTTGGCGAGGTGACCTCAACCATACGAGGGCAGGCTCAGTCGCCATCGACTGGAAAGTAATGTTTAGAGGTAATGTCCCAGTATCTTAAAAATTGCTCGAGAGTGTACTGCAACCGCCCGCAGACAACAGTTGCTCACTAACGAATGCAAAGCTGAAGGTGGCATGATAAAGAAAAAGTTAACAGCGAACACAAACCACGAGGAAAATGCAATATCAGTAAGTAAGGGAAATATTTAAATGATTGCGATGTACACGGAAACGAAGTGCGAAACATGATTGTAGAAAACGGTGGGAATTCGAGAAGAATTTACTGCAAACGCAGCATTAAGTCGCAACTAACTCATAAAAGCATAGGGAACGAACATCAACTCCCTTCATTATGCGTATCGTGAGCATCTAAGTTACCGGAAACAGAGATAAAGTTGAGTATTTGTCAGCATTTTAAGTCCATCCTCCATCCATCACAGGAGGACCTGCCGGATCCAAGCATAAACAATATCCTTTTTTCGGAATACGTTAGGCGATGAGAATACCAGATATTGCTAGAAACGAGGTCGTCATGAACAGGTGAGATTCCACCCAACGTGCGTATGGAACTTGCCAATATTCTTCAAAGTTCCTCTGACATTTGACCACCTGCCAATTCGAAGCCGACACATATTACCGTCCTACACAAAGAACGCAGCAGGGCGTTGACGATAAATTACTGGTCCACAATCTTCACATGCATTCTCAAAAAAATTCGTGAAGAGGACTGCAATGAACAGTTGGTGCAGTTCCCAGAGGTTCACAACATACTGTTGAAATACCAACAGGTGTGTCGGAAAGGACGATTCTGCATGACAAATTTGCCGCAACCTCTCCAGAGCTGGATCCGAGATCTCGAGGACAGGTACGCCGTATACATCGTTTTCACTGACTTTCGGAAGGCCTTCAATGCCATGTCACAGCACAACCAGTTGCACATACTTGTAAGGAAAGGGATAGAAGATAACTGTCTGCTGTGAAACGAAAATTCCCTTCTGTGTCAACGTCTTATTTTTGCATCGGCCAAGGTCAAGGTCAAGTCGCTGGTTTTGAATGTGAAGATAAGTGGAGGATATTATTTTAAGTGGTTTTTCTGTGAGACCTAACGATTTTAGTACCTGTTTTTTGGTTGAATTTCCTTAAATACAGGCTCTTCTCTCAGAACTGCCTGCTGCCATCTCCTTTTGAGTTCTGCTAGTCTATACCCGTTCTTCACTAATCGCACTCTGCAATTCTCATTTTGTGCATCCGATTTCTCTCTAACTGTCGTAATTTATTTTTACATCGTAAGCCCCTAGCTGAAATTCAGTCAACTTGTCTGCCAGAAGTTTTCTTAATCACAAATTGTCTCGAGACAAGATGAGACCAAAAGTCACTGGTCGACGTAAGCTCTCGGCTTCTGTAAGTAAGCAT